AAAAAAAATAGAGTAAAAAAAACTAACCCAGTAAATAAAAGACTTCCCAACAGACTATTTTTTGAAAACCCTGAGTCAGTCATGAATCCCCACTGAGCTTTGTAACTAAGTGGCTTTCTTAATTTCCCTAGTTTCTCATAAATACGGACAATGTGCTCTGACACAAATCTGCTCCTGCCCCGCCTCAATGTTAGCAGAAAGAAAATATTCTCCTATAACTTGGCTTGTTAAAAAGAAAAAAAAGATGAAAGAAAATTCACTTGAGATAAACCAACTATTTCTCATGATGGAAAATCTGCATGATTACTTTGGACATAATGTATTGCATTTGTTTCTGGCTGACTTTGCCTAAACTAGTGAAACTTTTTAAGTGACCAAATTTTGCACATTTCACTTAGTCACACACACACACACACACACACACAGACAAATAGCATGAAACAAAAGTGAATAGGATATAACATAAATGCAGTAAGGACATAAAAGATTAGTTTTCCTATAAAACGTAAAATAACTGCTTTGGCAACAGTTTTCCATTTGATAACTTCACAAGCAAACTTATGTTGACTTCCAATTTATTAACCATTTTTACAAATACTATTTTTAGTAACTCTAAATACAAATGGGGTTATGGTTCAGAAAGAGGGAAACATTTTTTTCTTTTTAGGAAATGAATCATGCTGAAAACTGAAAGGATATCAGTTTTGCAAAAGACAATTCAAACAGACAACACTGTTGGTATCTGAACCATCATTTCAGTAAAAGTACAGTCAGCGAGGCTGTATCCTTGACGCAAAATCATGTCCCATTTGTGGAGGGAATCCCAGAAACTCTCCTCCAACATGATGATTGTCATCCAGGAGCTGTAATTTTTTTTTTTATTGATGAAATGGAATGTTCAAACTATCTTTATCATGACTCCAGTCTCTGGATTTTTAACTCCAGCTCAGTTCTAAAATGGTCTTAATTCATTGCCTCGGGTTACTTATCTTAATCCTGAATACCCAAATAAAAGAGACCTTAAATTAATTTCTTGATCATTAAAGAAAATAGGTCTACCACGATGATATATACCAAACCTTACAAGCTAATATAGTATGCTTATCTCTTCCAAGTTACTAAAAGATTAATGCTTTTATTCAGCTTAATGGTCAACCTGATATATGATGGGTTCCTAGGGAAACAACAGTAATTTATGCTTGGAGTTTCAGGCTATTTCTTTGTTTTAATCAGCAGTCATTTTAAGTATGTTACTGTCTACACATATATTCTAGACCTATTTTCTATGTTTCAATTTATATTTGAAAGAGAGAGAGAGAGAGAGAGAATGAGCCGGGGAGGGGAAGAGAGAGGGAGACACAGAATCAGAATCAGGCTTCAGGCTCCAGGACCCAGCTGCCAGCACAGAGGTCAAAGTCATGAGCAGTGAGATCATGACCTGAGTGGAAGTCAGACGCTTAAACCAACTGAGCTACACAGATGCCCCTAGACCTATTGTAACTCACAAATTAATATCGGACTCCAAAAGTATTGACTATTATCTAAGCCTTTAGCTCATTCACAAGGTGCATTTACTTTGAACAAAATTAATTTCAATAAGATGCCCTACTCTTCTATTTTGTAGGAGCTACTCAGACATAGAAGCAGAAAACCAACAGCTTCCTCATACACAATGTAAGAATCATCTCTACACCCCTGATACGAATTTAAAACAACCATTATATGGCCACTTGATCAACATTCATAAGGTCATGGCAATGGTTTGGAAATGCCAAATGAAGCCAGAGCTCAACACATGTAAGGAGTCACACCATGACCTATAGTATCTCCATCTACATGTCCAAATGACAACTATTAACAGCTGCTTTCCTGTCAATTTAATGATGGTACAACTTGCATGAATGCAAATATAACATACATTTTAAAACAAAGCTCTTTCTGAAATAGAAAATCTATGAAGAAAAATCCCAAGTTCTATTTCAAACAATCAGCTGCACCCAAAGAGAGAACAATACTCTCTTAACTATAAATAACTTACTTTCAAAGTCTACGATGGTTTTTCACCAAGAGAGCTCAGGCATGTTATCAAGAACACATGGTAAATTCTTACAACAAAGGCAATGACATTTTCCTCTATATTTTAGGATAAAATAACAGCTATTTCCTTGACATTATGAATTCATTGTATAATTCCGACCTGTTACAAAGGAAACAAACTCTCTTAGTATTCTTAGTGGCTAAATTTTACGAAGGGAAGAATACGTTTAGATAATCATTAAGGATAACAGAAATTGCAGCAGTAAAAAATAAAAGGATGTCAAATTCAAATTCAACCTGTGGGTATAATTACTCAGATTCTAAACTTAATCCCATTTCCTGAAATGTGACACCAGCTTTACAGGTAACGTTGCTTTTAATATATCAGGCTGAAGTAAGGCTTTTCCCCGTTCATCTTGGGGACAGTGTGGTAGATGAAAGAAAGTGGGCTTTGGAGCCCATGAGAAGGAATTGTCAAAAAAACAGCACTTACTAGTACTGTGATCTCAGAAACATGACCTACTCTCTTTTGAGCTACAGATTATAGATTTTCAAAACAAGAGTAATCATACTTACCTCATCTGGAGGTTATGATGTGCATGCTAAGGACGTAATTCCAGTGCCAGCCAGGAACTTGGAGTATAGAGGTAGAGGGAAGATGCAAGCCTATACAAATAAATAAACAGAGTTATAACCTGGGCTAAGGGCAAACTGGGATTAGTACGCGGTGAGCAAATAATGGGGACACGGGCATACAGAAAAACAAAAAACACAAGTAGGTAGTGACTAGGTACAACAGACAGAAACCTGTTATGGAATGGATTTGCCCCCACAATCCATATGTTGAAGTCTTAACTACCCATGTGACTATACGTGGATACCAGATCTTGAAAGATAAAGTGGAGGTCGAATGAGCTCATCTGGAGGGAGGGACCCTACTCTGATAACTGGTGTCTTATAAGAAGAGAGCGGGCACCTACACACACAGAAGGAAGACCACGTGAAGACAGTGGGAATGAGGTCGTCTACCAGTCATGGAGAGAGGAGACCCACCCTGGCCACACCTTGATCTCAAGTGTGAGAAAATAAATAAATCAATTTCTGTTGCTTAAGCCACCCAGTCTGTGGTACTTTGTGATGGCAGACCCAGCAAATTAATACGAAATCCCAACATTTACTCACTCAGCGAATGGTGGTTGAGCCTTTGTAGGAGTTAGGCACTGTTCTAGGACCCTAAGGAAACGGTCCTAAACAAAGCTAGTTTGGTCTTTGGACCCCATGGAGCCAACATTCTGGCAGGGACTGAAGTGGGTGACAGACAGCAAGCAAGTAAGAAAAACAGATGATGCCACGGGCCAGGAAGAAAAGAATGCGGGGAAGGGATATCAGGTGTTCAGGTCAGAGAAGGAGCAGTTTTCAGTTTTAGATAGAGATCTAGCAGGGACTCCACTGAGCAGGTGATGTCATAGCAAAGGTATGATGGAAATAAGGGAGTATGTCATCTTGGCATGTGGGAGAACATTCTGGACAGAGAGAGGAAAAGTGAGTGTAAAGACCTGAAGCAGTGTAAAGCATGTGCCTGACATGCTTAGGGAGCAGGGAGGGGTCAGTGTGGCTGCAACCCAGTAAACAATGGGAGGGGAAGTGGAGATGCCTTCAGGGAGGTAGCAGAGTCTGGGGAGGGTATCACCTGTGTGGTTCACAGTTGGAGTCAGGCATCCGGAGACATGAAGTGCTGGGGGCAGGGCATAAAGACTTGGAGGCCCCAGCTGCTGGTAGACAGAAGCCTGAGGTTGGCTGAGATCACCCCAGAGTAAGGACGGGCAGAAAGCAAATGGGGGGGGGCGGGAAAAAGATGAGGACCAACCAACACAGACACTGGTGAGCAGTGCCCTGACGGTGGGAGGAGGAAGCAAGTAATTTTTAAAGAAAGGGAGTAATCAAATGTGTGAGCTTCACTGTGAGCTTCAGCGATGTGTCATTCATTAACAAGATGAGAACTAGGGATGAGTGGGAGAGGAGGCCCACTCAGACTCAGCTGACAGAGACAAGGAGGGAAGGTCTGAAGGTGCTGGCAATGCTAGGCGTAGGAAGAGAAAACAGGTGGCGCTGGATGGGAATTGCTCCCCATGGGCTGGGAGAAACAGCTGCAGGTGCACAGGATGGCCAGGTCCCGAGGAAATCCCCGGTGTGCAGGAGAGAAGGAAGCGGTGTGGGAGGCATGTTAGCAAGAGATGGCTTCCTCCCTTAGCAACACGACTCAACTATGTTAATGGGACACCAGCCAGAGCCATGGGGATAGATGCACCAAGGTGGGTGGCTGTGAGGTTGCTGGGACTGTCTGTGATTGGGAAACATGATAAAGATGCCCTATGTTCTCTCTGACTGTAGGACAGGATCATGGCCAGCATTTCAATACTGATGCACACGAGAAACAGAGCATCGAGCCCTCCATAGGGACTCCCATGTTGTCCTCTTGCAGCAGACATTCCCACCTCCTTCCTGCACCCATCACCATGTGATGCCTGGCAATCCCTCATCTGCTCTCCATATCTATGATTTTGTGACCTCGAGAATATTCTACAAATCAAATCGAAAAGCATGTGAGCTTTGTAAGATTCGCTTTTCCCCTCTGGGCATAATTCTCCGGAGATTCAGTCCTGCTGTAGTGTCTGTCAGCAGCGCATGCCCTGGCACTGTTCACTTGTGATCGCCCCACCACATGGGGATAGCATGGTTTGGCTGTCTCCCTATGGAATGACATGCTGTACTAGGCTGGGCAATGGACCTCAAAGAAAGCAAGTCCTAATACCTGGCAGCTAACTCCCATCGTTGGGATCTAGTTGAGGATCTTGAGTCCTGGGTTGTCTGAGTGAGCCATAGATGGAATCACGAGCATCCTTAGAGTGGCAAAGGGAGACTTGACAAAAGAGGAGGCACTGTGTCCATGGAGACAGACTGGGGTGATATGGTCACAAGCCAAGGGAGGTTGGTGACCACTGGAAGCTACCAGAGGGAAGGGATACACTGTCCCCTGGAGCCCTGGGGTCTCCAAAGGGAGTACAGCCCTGCTGACACATTAGTCTCAGTGAAGCAAATTTTGGGTTCCTGGCCTCCAGAACTCTGAGAGAACACGATTTTGTTCTCATAAGCCACCAAGTTTGTGGTAAAAGAGCAGATGTGGGCCCAGTAGGTCCCCATTCCCATCTCCCTCAGACTGTGGAGTCTTCCTTCCTTGAGAAAGTCAAGAAATATCTGGTATTTCTACCTAGTCGACTGCAGGCAGCCATTGAGTCATTATTATGACTATTCCCAGTTCTCCAGGCAACACATTAAATTACATTTCCTGCAGGAAGAACCGTGTATCCATGTCTGGCCTATCGTATGTCACCCTCTTTGGTGTAATACTCTTTGAACACACTGCCTTACTCGTTCTCCTGTCTCCTACCAGTGTGAAGTGGTAATACCCTGCAACTCCCCTGCATGGGCACACGATCCTGTGTGGACCTGATCTCATACTTCCATTTGGAATACACTGGAATCCCTCCCTATTTTCCAGGAAGTAAATATGGATGGTAGACGTGGAGTGTGAAGATCACTGCTCTTGGTCATGACAGTATTTTATTTGGTGAAGCCATTGAAACCTTTTCTCTAGGGGTCCTGGGGGTGGGGTATGACTATATTCCTCAGACGGGGGGAGCTGCTTGTCTTGGCAACAAACACAAGATACTCACCTCATGAGGCCATACGTTTTCTGATGTTTTGCCCTTGCTTTCAACCTATCCTGTTTCCTGCGTATACCCAAGACACCCCAAACTGACCCCGGACAGGCTCTGTAACTGCCCCCCATGGCCACAGTAATGACTCCACCCGCGATCCTCCACCGTGGTGTCCTCCATCACTCTGTACCAGCACTAGTGGTAATGTGAGCAAATGTGAAGTCACCTCTAACCACCAATGACCAGTATCCACTTCCGCCATCAAGGAAACTACTTGTATGTCCACCAGAGAGAAGAGCAGTCCAGTCCCAGAGTCCCAGTTCCAGGTGGCTTCCTGCAGCCACTCATGGTACAAATTACCATCGTTGCAGGACTGCGACAGGAGACAGCACACACAAAAGCAGTGAGTGAAGAGCAGTGCAAAGGTAAGGGAACCTCCAGGAGATGGCAGAGAGGGCAAAGTGGCCTTGCTAAACAAAGGCAAGATGTTTCCACTAAGAAGAAAGTAAAAAGAAAAGTGGTTCCTGATCCCGTAATATTTATCTGGAGATGAGGGTCTTGTGGGGAGATGTAATGCAGAGGAACACAACTACAGAAGCTCCCTGGTATCCATGGGAATATGTCCGGAGACCCCAGGTGGGTCCCTGAAGCCACAGACAGTACAAACACTATAGTGGCCATGAAGGGGTGCTGGCGGTACACCCCTACAGGGCCCATGAAGTGTTGCAGGTGGCTCACCCCTACATAGCCCATGAAGGCGCACAGGCAGCCGCCCCTACATGGCCCAGGAAGGGGCACAGGCATGACATATCTACATGGCTGATGAAGGGACACAGAAGCGCTGCAAGTGTCAGACCCCTGCAATGCTGACGTAGGGGTATCGAGGCTGTCCTAGAAGGTCGAAAAATATGATTCACGTACTGTAGGCAGTTGTTAGTGATGTGGCCATGAGCCTTCATAGTAGGGCTCAGGCACTGGTATATGATCTTAAGATCTGAATACCAAAAATAGACAACCAACTCCTAAGTTAAGACCCGGTGAATTTCACAATAGAAGCAATAATGCTAGTATGTGCAACAAGAAATATTTGTACTTCCTTAAGCTCTAT